GGCGCCGCCCCCGCCGTGGCCCCTGCACTATGGTGAAAGTCACTGCAGAGTGACAGCAGCACCTTATGGAGTTTCCTCTCTGCTCTATGTAACCCCCATCCAAAGGGGCTCTGTCATGGGGCGGGACTCACTGCTGCGGCGCCTCCTGCTGGTAGCTCCAGGGAATTAGTTTGGTCAGCCACAGGGCACCTCCTTCTGGCGGCGCCGCCCCCGCCGTGGCCCCTGCACTATGGTGAAAGTCACTGCAGAGTGACAGCAGCACCTTATGGAGTTTCCTCTCTGCTCTATGTAACCCCCATCCAAAGGGGCTCTGTCATGGGGCGGGACTCACTGCTGCGGCGCCTCCTGCTGGTAGCTCCAGGGAATTAGTTTGGTCAGCCACAGGGCACCTCCTTCTGGCTAGCGTCTCCTCCAGCCACGCTCCACATTCGTGTTCCGGACCCACGCCGCTGCCAGACCACGGCGTCCTCTGCGGGACACGGCCCTCCAGCAGTGCTCCCTGCAGTGCTCCCTCGCGTCCCTTCTGGGGTTATCAGCCATCCTGGCTTTCCTCTGCACCCCAAAGCCTAGACCCTCTGCCTCAGGGGCAAGCCATAGTCTGTATGGGCCACAGTGCTTGGTGGCAAAGCGTGGGGTAAGAGGGAAGAGAGGGGGACCCAGGCCACTGGGTCCTGGCCCAATGACCCTCTGGAAGCAACTTTGTGCTGCTCTTTTTCACTCTCCTTTAACTTCCTCCTGCTCTCTGAGCCACTGCCCCTGTGCCCCTTGCACCCTCTTGGCTCTTACATCAAGGCTCACAGCCTGTCAGGTATCTGACTGGAGCGTGAGCGTAAGCGAGCACACGAGCACGAGCACGAGCACGAGCACGAGCACACCCTGATCCTCCACCCTCCCTGGTCAGAACCCCACTGGCTCAGTCTGCTGGGCAGCTCCTTATATGCAGGGCTGCTCCAGCAAGCTGACCTCTGATAGGCTGCTTAAAAGCCTCTCTCTAATTGGCCAGCGCTCTGCGCAAGCTCCCTCCAGCCTGCTTTGACCCCCTCCCGGCCAATGTGGGACAGGCTCCTGCCAGGGAGAGACACTGGCAACAGCGCTTCTGCAGGAGCCATGCTGTCGAGGGCCATAGGGAGCCAGGGAAGAGACCGGGGGCAGGGCAGGGGCAAAAGACCTCTCTGTTCAGAAAGGCCCTTTGCCTCCAGCAGACCCCCTTGGGAATCCAGGCATTAGGCAGTGAACATGCAGGTTCTCCCATGGAGCGGGTGGGGGGCTCACATTAAGGGCAGGCTGCTCCAGACCCTCTGAAGTGATGCCTCGTAAGACTCTGAAGGGCTTGTCTACCCCTAAAGTCGTATCCCCTTCAGGTGACACCCGCAGAGTTCAATTGGTACAACCCCCGAGTGTGGCTGCCAAACCAGTGCTTTAGAGAGTCATGTCCACACATGGGGAGGTGAGGGGAGGGGGGAGTCTAGTGGCCTAGCTCCAGTGCCGTAGCAACGTGGCATAACCCATAGTGTCAACCCAGCCTACACGGATGGAAAGGGGTCCCCACTAGGGAAGGCGCACTGCCTCCCTGAGGAACGGTAGCTAGGTGGACAGACGCATCCTTCCCGGTGTCCGAACCGGGTCTTGCACCGCAAAGTGCACGGCCCGCTCATGGAGGCGGCTGTAACTCAGGGCAGCCGCCTGGGTTGCTCATGTGGCCCTGGGGAAACCTGAAGACACTTTCCCTCTCCATGCTAACTCTGCTGCGGACACAGAACCTCAGCCCATTTCCCTCCTGGAAACCCAGGCCTGCCTGAGCAGCCATCACCCAACAACCATAAGCAGGGGATCCTCACGCTGCCCCCTCCCCCCCGCCTTTACTTTTCCGACTCAGAGCAGACAGCACTGCAAAGCGCGAAGGCTGCAGTCTGAGCCTTCCTGGCCATTTACATATCTGCTCTCTGGGCTTCTCTCTCTCATTCATCCCTCTTCTGCCTTCCTACAGGCTGGCTTAGAACGACCTTTAAAACTAAGAAAAGAAAGTTCTTCTTCACACAGAGTGTAGTCAACCTGTGGAACTCCTTGCCAGAGGAGGCTGTGAAGTCTAGGACTATAATAGAGTTTAAAGAGAAGCTAGATAATTTCATGGAGGTTGGGTCCATAAAAGGCTATTAGCCAGGGGATAAAATGGTGTCCTTGGCCTCTGTTTGTCAGAGGCTGGAGAGGGATGGCAGGAGACAAATTGCCTGATCATTGTCTTCGGTCCACCTTCTCTGGGGCACCTGGTGCTGGCCACTGTCGGCAGACAGGCTACTGGGCTAGATGGACCTTTGGTCTGACCCAGTACGGCCGTTCTTATGACCTTCTTTCAACCGGCCAGAGCCGTAATCCCTTAAAGTGGATTTACTAATGGTGGAGGAAAAAAAACAAAAAAACCTTTGCTTAGAAAAAAGCTGCTGGGTTGTGGTGAAAGCCATCTCCAATCTGATGCTCACTGGAAACATTCTGTTCGGATTCACACACCAATGGGGCTTTCCCACTCATTTGCAAGTACCATGTGAATTAGCAGAGGTTTGCACACACCGAAGGGCCGCATGGGGGAGAGCTGCAGAAAGATCCCCTCCCCCTTTAAGGTGAATTGAACACCATTCATCCTGCGTGTGGTTGCAGAGGAGCCATGGGGCAGTGGGTGTCCTAGGGCAGAG